TCTGCTGTACCAGTACATAAAACCTAAGTAATCCGAGTATTAATGAAATGCAACAGAGGTGAGTGGCCAGCACTGGCCCAGGGCAGCTCAGCATGCAATAGTATTTAGGAAAGAGAATATTACAAACAATGGAAGGAGAATATCACAATAACAGCCCATGGTTCATGTAAGTAAATACCATAACCAGGTTCAGGCAATCACCAATGACCCTTAGCTGGAGGGAGGGTGCAGAAGTGTAAGCCATGGATCTGGACATAGTCCAGTGATGGCGAACCTATGACACGCAAACTCATTTTTTTGGTTGATTTTTCTTTGTTAAATGGCATTTAAATATATAAAATAAATATCAAAAATATAAATATTTGTTTTACTATGGTTGCAAATATCAAAAAATTTCTGTGACACGGCACCAGAGTTAAGTTAGGGTTTTTCAAAATGCTGACACGCCGAGCTCAAAAGGTTCGCCATCACTGATATAGTCACTCTCCCAGGAAGAGGAAGTTAAGGTGGGTCCCTTTAAACTGTCTGCAAGACTCGTGACTTCTACATACTTCCTGCACTCTCTGAGGCAATGGGTGTTAGGGGTATTTGATGAATCCATTGCTCAGGGTTCTCCACACAGCTCAGCATATGCATCCACAGCACATCTATATATATAAAAGCCAAAGCGACCATTATGACTGAATGACTGGAACTGGAATGACCGATCGACCAGTCACTATGATGCACACTGACCATCAGGGGGCAGATGCTCAATGCAGGAGCTGCCCTCTGGTGGTCAGTGCACTCCCAGAGCCAAACTCCCCCAGCCCCTTCTTGGGTACCTCACCCTGGCCAGCTGGCCCCCCAATAGGCCTCGATCGCTGGCCAAGCCGAGGAGCCCTACCCATGCACGAATACATGCACTGGGCCTCTAGTATTCCAATAATGTGGAGAAAATTAACAGATCCAATGGTTTGACTGTGAAAGAGAGGAAGTTATGTCTGGAGAATAAAGGAAGAGGGACCATCACCTCAGGACACTAGAAAATGTGAAAATCTTACCTAAAAATGATACAAGTCCAAACATTTGCAGCATCACATTGCAGCATAGATGTCTCCGATCCTCATCAAGGAGCCCCCATTCCTTCTGAGAGAAGGCAATGGCCACGTTATCAAAATTCATATCCTGTTATAATGGGGACAGTTCAGCCCATGATCAGCATCTCTCCTATGATTTTCTGTTCATCATACTGCCCACCCTATACATCCATCCTTCCCCTCTACTACCTTTATCAGAGTAGATACCACGCCTTAGTCCAATCAAAGTAACTCTCTCCTTATATGCCAACTGATACCACATCTACCCACAACAATAAAGTTTGATGATCAAATAAAAGGTATCTGAATCCTGGGCCTCACATGTAGGTCACACAGCCTCTTCTCAATACAGCTGAGGGAGAAATGTTGGCCATAAGGAGAGTGTGATTGATTTGACACTGGTCTTATCAGGCATTCCCCATGTAGTGTCCCAGAAAAGTATGGGATCACACTTCACTCTTTGGAACTGAATCCTAGGATGCTGAGTCCATCACCTTTCACTAACAGTCACATAATTCTTCGAAACACACTCCTCTCACACAGCCTCTTTCCCAGAGTTACAATTTCAAAAATAACACCAATATGCCTTGTTGTGGCCGGGATTTTTCCTAATCACTTCTTTTCCAAAATTCTAACTCACCACTTTATAATGTATTCTCTCCTTCCCACTGCCTTCCCTATACCAGTAAGGATTTTCAAGCCCAGGAGACACTGATGTATGCTATCGTGTTCCTAATGATCACTGTATCTGTAGCTGGACAAGTGGAATGAAAAGTTAACTAGAAGAGGACGTTCTGCCAACAAAAGGCAGGAGCCTGCAAGCAGGCCACATCAGAACAAAGTCTTGCACGCAAGACTTATTGTTCAGAGGCAGAATTTCCTTGATGTGATAAATAGTCCATGAGGGCATGGAAAGCCAGGGAGGGTACACTGCTGCTGCAGGTGGAAAGGGTCTTTGTATAACATAGGGAATTAATATTGTAATGTATAACTTAGCTCTGATGATCTCATAAGCATGCCTGTTAATCATAGTCACTTGCTGTACTCCATTGTTATTTGCTGTACTCCCCAAATAAAAGCCATGAGGGCTTTGGGGGCTTGGCTACTTGCCTGACTAGCGGTAGCCCTCTGCTTCTCTAAACTTAATCCTGTACGCCAAGCTCATTTCAGTGTCATCGTTCACAAAGAATATCAACAAATGGCGCCCGAACAGAACAGGGACCCGAAGGTGAGTAATTGGGATCGGGCAGGACCGAAAGGGAGATGCCAGCGCAGAGTACTCGAAACTTTCGGCAATAGACGCAGAGTCATGGGGAATAACCCGTCATTACAGAGTCAATATATCACTGTCTTGCGATCATTATTAAAGAGCTCAGAGGTAAAAATGAAGGATGAGGCTTTTAAAAAATTGTTTAAGGTAGTCCAGCAGCACTGTTGTTGGTTTAACTCAGAAGGAAAACAGCAGTTAAATCTTAAGTTGTGGAAACAAGTTGGAAAGTCATTAAGGCGGGCTCATCAACAGAGAAATGCTATAGAGGCTGATGTATGGGCTATTTTTAATTTAGTGACGTTAGCTTTACAGCCTTTTCAGTCTGATTCTGAAGATTATGAAGAAATTCCTTTGAGGTCGAGAAGTGCTGCACCAGGAGCTGGGTGTTTAAGTCCTGAGCCTCTCCCTCCTGAGAAATTGCTACCCCCTGAGCCACTCCCGGTTGCGGTCACAGAACCGAGGGAGTCAAGAAAGGGACAGAAAATTAGCTGTCAAAATAAATTAGAAGGTTATGAAAGAATAGCCTCAGCCAGCGATTCAGAGCTGGATGTTTCATTTTCCCCTGAGACGGATGGTGATATTTACACTCGCCTTAAGTTAAGGGAAAGAAAGAGAATAAAAGTCCTCAGGAGTTGGCTGCACCACCGCCCGCAGCTGCCGAAAAGTGAAAGTAAAAGAGCACTAGCCATTAATCTGGTGTTAGCGGCTGAGCCTCCAACCCCCGCTCCTAAGGACACAAAGAGCTGCTAATGTTCAATACCCTCAAGGGTTAAATTTAAACAGATTATAAATTAATTAATTTATATATATATTATTAGTTATAATATATTATTATATATAATATAGTTATATATTATTATTAATTTTTATATTAATTAATATAGAATTAATTTATATAGATTATAAATTAATTCCTTATGATTAGAATACAATAGCTAAGGCACTATTAGCCCCAGGGCAATATCTGCAATTTAAATCCTGGTGGTGGGAAGAAGCCAGGAGAGTGGCGATGATTAACGCCCAACAAAATCCACCTGGATCCAATTTTGACCAGTTAACAGGAACTGGGACACATAGTAGCTTACAGCAACAGGTGCTGTTAGAGGATGCTGTTATGGTACAGATTAGAGCTGGTTGCTTAAAGGCTTGGTCAAAAATGGAGGAGACCGGCACCCTGGCCCAATCATTTTCTAAAGTTATACAAATAATACTAATATAATAATAATAATAATCTTATTAAAATATTATATAAATAACTAATAATAATAATAATCTTCTTGCTGATGCATTAAAAACTACAATTCCCATCCTGTTAAATGCTATGGATGTGGGAAAGTGGGACATATAAAAAAGGATTGTAGGAAGGCAAAAGTCTCACAAGGGGAAGCCAAACGTGCTCCCAAGTTATACCCTAAGTGTAAGAGAGGACAATACTGGGCTCATGAATGCTGGTCTGTTAAAGATAAAGACGGCAACCCATTAACACCCATGCAGTCGGGAAACTAGATTTGGGGCTCAGCTTGAGGCCCGGAGAAAAAGAATATGGGCAGAAAGAAGGGCCTAGCTCGAGGCCCCGAGAAAAAGAATACGAGCAGAAAGAAGGGGTACAGAAAATATCCACCGGGGTTTATGGACCTTTACCCAAGGAAACAGTAGGATTGCTACTGGGAAGTAGTCTATATAAAGGCTAGAAAAAAAAATGGCACAGTTATTATTACTTCCCTATAAACAAATAGGGCATACAGTGCCAGTTAAGCAAACTGGGAGATTTGGTAGCACGGGAAAAAAGGTTTTTTAGCATACAGTCTTAGGAGGCCAAAGACCTTAATTTTCACAGTAATGTTCCCGGAGGGAATAAAAATTATCAGCCTGGTAGATTCTGGGGCTGATGTAACTATAATTTCTACTTTGCACAGGCCTCAATCTTGGCCGGTACACAAGGTGAATACAACCTTTACAGGTTGTAAACCTCACCGAAATTTTACAAAGCTCTAATGTACTTGAATGTCAGGGGCCTGAAGGACAAAAGGGCCAAATACAGCCATATGTCGCCTCCATTGCACTATCTTTGTGGGGAAGAGATCTTTTACAACAATGGGGGCTACAATTACTATACCTTCTTTACAGAAAGGCCATAGACAAATGATTTTTCAAGCTGGTGCTGGCACCAATGTTCAGGATCAAAATTTATAAAGGGGGCCACTACAAAGAGCTTCGCCCTACTATTAAAATGGAAAACAACTAAACCAGTATGGGTAGAGCAGTGGCCCCTAACAAGAGAGAAGTTAGAAGCTCTTCAAATCATTATTAAAGAACAGATACAACTAGGGCATATAGAAACTAGCTCTAGTCCATGGAATTCCCCTGTCTTTGTTATAAAGAAAAAATCAGGTAAATAGAGGATGCTTACTGATTTAAGACGGACTAATAAGATTATTGAGACTATAGAACCTTTACAACCTGAAATTCCAAATCCAGCATTGAAGCCTTTGCTATAATGGGCAAACCCTGAGCCATTAAAACTAATAATGGCTCAGCATATTTATCAGGTAAGTGTCAACATTTTTTCCAACAGTTTGATATTAAACATATTACAGGAATTCCTGGAAACAGTACAGGTCAAGCAATTATTGAACGGCAGAACCGCACCCTTAAGGAAATGCTGCAAAAACAAAAAGGGGGAGAAGAGCTGGTATCAGGCCAGAGTCCCCGACGAAGATTATTAAGAGCTCTATTTACTTTAAATTTTTTAAAATTTGAATACAGATGCAGTGTCAGCTGCTGAAATACATTGGGGACATAAAAAGGAGGTCCGGGTAGAACAACCGATCATGTACCAAGATATTACTACTAATCAATGGTGCCCAACTACCGTTTTAAGGTGGGGTGAGGATATACTTACGTTTCCACAGGAACTAGGAAGTTCTGGATTCCTGATAGAAGAATCAAGTTAAGGCATGGCGAACAAGAGGAAGTGTAATGAAGCGGGACTGGAAGACCGGTTTGCGCAGCTAACCATCCAGGGAGGACAAACAATTCGCGGACCATTGCCTTGCACCCGAAACACCCCTCCACCTACATGGGGACAGGTGAAGCGCCTATGCCAGGAAGGGGAACGTCTTGTGGCTGCCCATGGAAGGCCCTGTAACTAATGACTCTAATTGGACACCTGGACTTTTTGAAGATCGTGGGCCTATGAAACCAGAAGAAGAAGGAACAAAAATGAACAACTATTTGACAGGAGTTGCCGGAATGCCTGTGTGTCTGGGACTGGGTGATCATTATCTGCAATTGGGTTTTAAAGCCTGGTTGAGTGTGGCTAAAAACACCACTAATCCTTGAAAGGACCAATCCAATGGAATCAAACTACCGGGGAAATATCTTGTTTTAATTGTACCTTATTAACTTGTGTAAATAACTCTGTATCTTTTAATCACAGTGGAGAGAGCTTGTATCTATTGCAAGCCAGAATTGCTATAACAGCGACAGCCGCAGCAGCTGGGGTAGCATTACAGTGATCAGTCCAAACTGCTACTTTTGTTCAAGACTGGCATAAAGATTCAGAACGGTTATGGAATTCTCAACGGCATATTGATAGTAAAATCAATGAACAATTAGCGGATCTTGAACAATCAGTAGTTTTATGAGGGGACCAAATAGGTCCCTTAATAAAACTCTGTCATGATTATAAGGGGACCACATAGGTCCCCTAATAAATCTCTGTCATGATTCAAACCTACAACAAAACTAAAAAGGGGGAAATTGTAGCTGGACAAGTGGAATGAAAAGTTAACTAGAAGAGGACGTTCTGCCAACAAAAGGCAGGAGCCTGCAAGCAGGCCACATCAGAACAAAGTCTTGCACGCAAGACTTATTGTTCAGAGGCAGAATTTCCTTGAGGTGATAAATAGTCCATGAGGGCATGGAAAGCCAGGGAGGGTACACTGCTGCAGGTGGAAAGGGTCTTTGTATAACATAGGGAATTAATATTGTAATGTATAACTTAGCTCTGATGATCTCATAAGCATGCCTGTTAATCATAGTCACTTGCTGTACTCCATTGTTATTTGCTGTACTCCCCAAATAAAAGCCATGAGGGCTTTGGGGGCTTGGCTACTTGCCTGACTAGCGGTAGCCCTCTGCTTCTCTAAACTTAATCCTGCACGCCAAGCTCATCTCAGCATCATCGTTCACAAAGAACATCAACAGTATCTGCCCTCAACAACTGACAGGTGTGCACATCTATAACACCTAAGCTCTGGGCAGTGCATGTAGCATGACAATACACCTCTTTTCAGACAATTACACTAAAATTCCACATATTAACATCCAGTCACCACCAAAAATGAATTCACCTTTCATTCACTCTTAAGTCAATTTCAGGGCCCTGTGACCATGAATTAGCATATCCTCTACAACTGCACATCAGTCTTTTTACCACACCTCTCTCGCACCTGCACTCCAACAGCGCCAACCACCATAACTATCTCCTTGACCTCCTAACTCATTACTCAGCATGTGTGGGCTCAGAGAATGAATGCCTGGCAAATTCAAACTGAATGAAGTACTACCCCAACTCTGACAGTCCACACTCATAGAGGCAGCCTTGCATCCTGCTCCAAAGCCCTCCCTCCCTGATTGGTTTTTACTTCCACCTCACCTAATGAAACCACATCAGCTCACAGATATCCAGAGCCCACCTTCACTTGTGCTGCACTTGATGTCCCTTCATGAGTCCCAGCCTTCATAACTCAAGTCTCAAGCTTGTGTCCCTCTAACCCAGTGGTTCTCAACCTTGGCTGCACATTAGAATCACCTGGGAATCTTTTAAAAATCCTGATTTCTGGGCCTCATCCTCCGGAAATTCTGTTTCTTTGTTACTAATGTTGTGGTCCCACCCCATAACAAAGAAACAGAATTTCCAGAGGATGAGGCCCAGAAATCAGGATTTTAAAAAGATTCCCAGGTGATTCTAATGTGTAGCCAAGGTTGAGAACCACTGCTCTAACCCATGCCCAGTGAGTCTTACAGATGACCAAGGCAACTGAGGTACCTGCCCTTGACTGGAATTGAACCTGGGACCCTTCAGTTTGCAGACTGATGTTCTATCCACTGAGCCAAACTGGCCAGGGCCCTGCTGCTGGTTTTTAAAAATTGACATAAGTACCTGAACACAGGAAGCAGGGTAAGGGGCATTCCCGGGGACGGTGGGATGGGTGGGGAAGAAGGAAATTCGGGGTGTCAGTGTCTTCAATGGCAGAGGAGCACGGGCCACACGCAGTGAGCACAGGCTTCTGGCAGAACCTCCCGCAGGTGCACCTGGCCCCAGCGCGGGCATCTCACCTATGGACTTGGCTGAGGAGGTGGTGGAAAGGTTGAGTGATTTGGGACACCTTCTCAGGGGCTGCAGCATGAAGTCATTTCTGCCCAGAGAGGAGGCAGCCGCGATTCTGTAACACACACAGAGGAAGATGTGTCGGCTGAAGCCAAATAGCCTCCCACACACGCTGGCTCTGCCTTGAGGAGCCTACACACTGAGGGGTGTGACTTTTACATCCTGACTCTGGAGTAGCCCAAAGTGCTAGAGGTGACACCCCGAGTTGTTGCTGTTCAACCAGGTGTTGGAAGAGCATCTATTGCGAAGTTGGTCTTGGCAGTGGGCAGTCGTCACCTGGGAGTTAAACTCCAGCAGGATCCTGCCAGTGGGAAGGGCTTACCTTCTTTGTGATTAACAGGATCCTGTCCGTGGGAGGGGCTTAGGTCATGTGGGAGGAGCTTAGCTCATAAGGGACGGGCATAATGCCTGTGTGACCAGCAGGACCCTGTCAGCGGGAGGGGCTTAACTCCTGAGTGACCAGCAGGATCCTGTCAGTGGGAGGGGCTTTCATTTTCTGTCTCTTTTTCTCCCGGAAACAGAGACAGAAAATGAAATGCTGCCCCCGTGAGCTCCCAGTGACCACCCGACTACAGAGGGGACACCTTGCTGACCAGACACCACTTTTCCCTTTGTTAGAAGGGCATTGATATAAGCCAAAACCCTTGCACATTTATTCATTATCCTAGGCCTGTATAAGACAATTTTCTGTTATCCAACCCTGGCCAAACAATAGGGTAGGTTTTTTGGTTCACCCCTCACTTTAATGCACAGGGTTACCATGCATACTCCATTGGATATCACTCATTTTCAAAAAAGTCTAGAGCAGGCAGGCCGGCGTGGCTCAGCAGTTGGGCATCGACATATAAACCAGGCGGTCAGGGTTCGATTCCCCTTCAGGGCACATGCCCAGGTTACAGGCTCCATCCCCAGTGGGAGGTGTGCAGGAGGCAGCCAGTCCAAGATTCCACTCATCATTGATATTTCTCTCTCTCTCCCTCTCCCTTCCTTTCTGAAATCAATAACAATATATTTTTTTAAAAAAGAATGGGACAATGGGATGGGGGAGACAGAGAGGCAGAGAGCCAGAGGGAGTGGTTCCCACTGGTTCTGATCCCACATCAGAAAGGGTGGGGGCGGGAGGCTCTTACCGCATCCTCAGCTTCCTCTGCAGTGGCTGCAGGATGTTGACCGACTGCTGGTGATACTCTAGAGCCGCCTGGATAAACAGCGCCAACTGGCCAACTTGCTCTACCTGCAGGGAAGGGGACGTTATCCCTGGCGGCCAGAGCCCGTGGGAGCCGGAGGCGGGACATGAGCCCAGGGACAAGGCCTTGCAGGGAAGCCGCATCAGCCTCGGCTCATTTAATATCACAAGGAGCAGGTGATCATCACGCAGGTCCAGGTGCATAGAGCTAGTGATGCCGGCCGCACATGTGCACGTTGAGTTCTGATTATAAATGTGCTTTAACTCAATCAAACGCCGATCAGCCCACGAAGAGGATATTCTCCGGAGATTTTCTTTTATGCTATAAAGTTCATCAATCTGAGAGCATCAGCCTGGGGACCAAAGGGTCCCGGGTTCGATTCTGGTCAAGGGCAAGTGCCTTGGTTGCAGGCTCCTCCCCGGCCGGGCCCAGGTTGGTGTTCCTGCAAGAGGCAACCAATTGACGTTTCTCTCACATGGATGTTTCTCTCTGTCTCTCCCTCTCTCTTTCACTCTCTCTAAAAATCAATGGGAAATATTCTTGGGCGAGGATTAACCAAAAATGAACAAATAAATAAAATAATGTTTCTTTAAAAAAATTAAGGTTCATCATCCATCTGAAAGAGAGATCAAGCTTTTTCTATGACAAGGGAAACCAACACTGAGCGAATGAATGGTTCCCTTACCAAAGTGTCTCTTTGTGTCCTTTCTACTTAAGTCCAGTCAGGAGACTAAGTACATCCTGCTCTTCTCAGACAAGAGGGACCTAGTGCAGCACTTCTGTAGGTTCTTGCCACTATGACAGCCTTCCCTAAGACAAACAGCTGAAAGGAATAAACTCTAAAGATGGTGGCATCTCTCTTTCCCACCATCCAGGCATTTGTGGAAGCTGTGACCAAACATCAATGGACACACACAAAAATCACATCAGCCCAGCCGGCATGGCTCAGTGGTTGAGCATTGACCTAAGAACCAGGAGGTCAGGGTCCAATTCCCAGTCAAGGCACATGCCTGGGGTGCGGGCTTGCTCCCCAGTATGGGGCGTGCAGGAGGCAGCCGATCCATGATTCTCTCTCATCATTGATGTTTCTCTCCTTCTCCCTTCCTCTCTGAAATCAATAAAAATATAAATATATTTTAAAAAATCAAAAGGTTAAAAAAAAATCAAAAGGCCATGTGCCCCAAGGAAGCCCTGGAAATGCATCATTTGGGGAGAGGAGTCTCTAGCAGGCCTGCCAGCTACCCAGGTTTCCCACCTTTCCGAGGTGCTGCCATGGAAAAGAGGGGCTCACTGAGCTCATTTCTGGGGGCCACAGAGGCAAGTTCACTGGCTGGAGGTGCTGGGGGCCCCCAGCACAATCCCACACTCCAAATCCAAATAAAGACACAAAACAAGATAAAACTCCACCCCCTTCCCCAGCTCCCCACAGCCTCTGCATCACTTCCTTAGTCCTCTCACTCTTTGGCTGTGGGCAAAGCCGGCCCTGTGACTCACCCTGCAACACCCACTACAGACACGTCTGCCTCAGAGATCCAAAGTGGCTCCATTTGTGGCCTGTCCAGTTTGGCTCAGTGGATAGAGCATCAGCTTGTGGACTGAAGCGTCCCGGGTTTGATTCTGGTCAAGGGCACATGCCCGGGTTGCTGCCTCGATCCCCTATGGGTGTGCAGGAGACAGCTGATCAATGATTTCCTCTCATCATTGATGTTTCTCTCTGTCTCTCTCTCTCTCCCTCTCCCTTCTTCTCTGAAATCAATGAAAAATACATTACAAAGTGGCTCCATTTGGAGTCACAAACCATGCTTTCTCTGCTACATGTTCACTTTCCTTACCCACTTAGACCATTTCAACCACAGATTCCCAGGGCAACTCAGACACAACAGTATGCGCATGTGAACAAGGAAACTGCACCACATGCGTATGCCAAGTCCATGGGGCAAAGGCACACGCTGGGCCTCAAGGTCAATACCCAATACACAAAACATAGACAGCCTGGACCCTGTGAAATCCTATGGATTTCTTCAGTTTCTGCCGGAAGCCGGTCCATCCTTGCTGCTTGACACAGTCGCTGCAGGGAACATCTGCACAGCATAGGTTTCAAGGGACCTGGAGTATATGGCATACTGTTCTTAATATGTTTGCTCCCCTTCTTGGCGCTATGTGTTTTAACCAAGGTCACCTCTCCAAGAAAGGTTGTTTCCCCAGGTAGGGATTTTTTTCTGAAGTTAGGGAGGGAATAAAACCTTTTAACTAAGTGCCAGGCAGGTAGTTAATCACTTTAACTACGAACAATCACTCTTAAGCTACATAATCTTTACTCCCTGGAATGGAGATAAGAAATGCCCTAATCTTTGGAATAGAAATTGATAGGATTAAAATCAACTGGTATAAATACAGATGTAACAAGACAATAAAACACACAACCTGGCTATGATGATTACCTGAACACTGCCTCCATGTCATTCCTTCTTCACCGACTCTGTCCACACCTTTGGGAACCCCTGGACCTGCTGGGGCTGGACCCCAACATCTGGCACCTGAACAGGGACCCTTAGGTAAGCCCCCCATTCTCCTAGGTAAGCCCCACTCTCGGGATGGATAGGACTCCACTGTAGGAAGAGGGTGGATAGTCTTCACTGACTCTGTCCACACCTTTGGGAACCCCTGGAACAGGATTCCCCTAGGTAAGCCCCCCCCATTGAGAACCCCCACACTAGGGACAGATAGGACTCTACCAGGGTGCTGCAGACCCCCCTATAGAGGATAAGTAGGGTAAGAAGGTGGATAGTACAGAACTTAGATTGAGAAGATGTGCCATCCTGAGTCCAAAGAAAGAAGACTCTGTATTGATCTTTAGATTGAGAAGATGTGCCTTACTGAGTCTAAAGAAAAAAGACTCCATATTGATCTTTTAACACATATGCTTGCTAGCAGAGGAGTTAAGGTTACGCCCAGTCAGATGGAACGTTTTATACAAGAAGTATGTCCATGCTTTTCTGAGGAAGGAAAGGTAAATGTAAAGGCATGGGAGAAGGTAGACCCAAGGAGCCTCATCCTTAACCCCACTACAGCCTTTCCACCCCAGGAAAGTGCAGGATTGGCAAGCTCTCCCTGGGGTGATAGATCAGGACTCAGGTAATATCGGAAAGTGCCAATCCTACTCTTAAAATGGATACAAGAGAGCATTTGGGGTTTTTCTTTTTAATGCCTGCTTTGGATTGAGCAAATGCATTTTACTTAGTTTTAACACATCAAAGTTAACTCTTGACACAAAAAGAAAAACTGACAATTCCATCAATATAAACCTTTTCTATAAAAAACAAAAAAGGGGGAGAATAATGTTATATGTTAGATTTTTTGGAAATACAATGCAGAGGGTTGTACAGCAGCCAAAAAGCATCGGGCCTCCTGTACAATAGCCTCTGCCGACTCAGCCTGGTAGAAGGATACACAAACCAGACAGGAGTTTCATCACTGACTCTGTCCACACCTTTGGGAATCCCTGGACCTGCTGGGGTTGGACCCCAACAAGTTTCACCTCTTTGGCTCTGACACATACTTTTTTTTTTAATGCATGAGTGGGGTTCCTTGGCTTGGTCAGTGATTGAGCCCACAGCCCAGATACGTGCCCTTGACCTGAATTGAACCCAGGATCCTTCAGTCTGCAGGTTGGCGCTCTATTCACTGGGCAACACTGGCCAGGGCTGACACATACTTTTCAACAAGTACAGTGCCTCAACCTCACATGATCACAGTAGACTGCCACCTCTGTCCTCAGGAAAGCGAATTTCTATTTTAACATCCACTTTGCAATATGTATGGCATTACAGAATGTGAAAAGGAATCATGGAAGACAACTAAATGAACATTCTTTTTGTTTTGTTGTTTTGAATCCTTATGTGAGGATATCTCTTCCATTGAATTTTAGAAAGTGGAAGAGAGAGAGAGAAACATTGATGCGAGAGAGACACATCGATTGGTTTGTCTTCGCACACGACCCAACCAGGGCTGGGGATCAAGCCTGCAACCAAGATACATGCTCTTGACCAGAATCAAACCTGGGACCCTTCAGTCCACAGGCCTATGCTCTTTTCATTGAGCCAAACCCACTAGGGCTAAATGAACATTCTTTGAAACACTATGGGGCTGGGATGGGCAGAGGGGACATCAGCAGCTCTTCTCTCTCATGTGGCTAAAATACAAGATTATGTCACAGAGAGATGCATTTATCAGTAGTGACTTCCTCCCTTCCTGGCTGACATCAGGAAAGACATACATCCTGGGACACTGTGCACACACATAGTAGGTGTTCAATGCAACCAGGGGAGAGGTAGTTACTAAGCTGAGTCTCTTGGCATGTGGAGGCCCCCAGCAGTGCCCAGGCCACAAGCAGCCAGCTGTGTGTGGTGGCCTCTGCTTCCCAAAGCACACTTAGAATGAAATATCTGGACGCGGCCTGTGTGGATCAGTGGTTGAGTGCCAACCTAGGAACCAGGAGGTGACAGTTCGATTCCGGTCAGGGCACATGCCCGGGTTGTGGGCTCAATCCCCAGTAATGGGCGTGCAGGAGGCAGCTGATCCATGATTCTCTCTCATCATTGATGTTTCTCTCTTTCTCTCCCTTTCCCTCTAAAATCAATTAAATAGATCTATATATATAAAAGGCTAAGTGACTGACTGTAGGTCTGTCTGACTGACTGGCCAGTACATATGACATGCACTGGCAATTTAAAAATAAACGTTGACTTGCACATGCGCAATACATATAAAGCTCCTGCTGGTGCCAATCGCACATGTGTTTTAATTTTATAATACTATATTATATATACTATTTTGACATGTAATTTTTTGCAGTAACATAAGTACAGCATGAATCTTTCTTCTAATTAATTTCCTCTCAATGTGCATGAATCCATGCACCCAGCCACCAGTATATAAATAAAAGGAATTTCTGGAAACTTTTATAACAATAAAGGCTCCCAGAGCTTCCCCTCAAACATACAGTCAATGTTTTCATTCCCAGGAGGGTCTCCTGGTTGAGGTCAATACTTACGTCATTTTCTAAAAAATTAAACATGCATCTCTCCGCTATGGCCTTGGACTCCTCAAACTTTTCCATTGCTTGTGTGATCTCATTGTCGGGGATCTTTCCGACGTGCCTCCTTTTATAATCGTAGTCCAGGCGGCGGCCCTCCAGCCTCTTCAGGTGGTTCTGAGGGAGAGGAGACAGACCTGGAGCTGCTACCTTAGCAAGTGACACAGGGAGACCTGCCGCACCTCTACAAGAAAGGTCATTACTTTTTCTAGGCCTACATTTTAGGGGGCAAGGACCCAATTACTTTTCTTTTTGGTGGGCACCTCAGCATCTATTAGAGGCTTCTTTCACTATAAAATATCAAGGAATATTTATGAAATGAATGAATAGATGTATGTATGGATGGATGGATGGATGGGTGATAGCATAAATGGATGGATGGGCAGATGGATGATAGCATAAATGGATGGATGGATGGATAGATAGATGATAGCTTAAATGAATGGATGGATGGATGGATAGATGGGTAGATGATAGCATAAATAGATGGTTAGATGGGTGGATGGATGGATGGATGGATGGATGGATGGATGGATGATACCATAAATGGATGGGTGGATGCTAGCATAAATGGATGGATGAATGACAGATGATTGTCGATATGGGAGATAAGGCCACAGTATTGTCACTCAGATTCCATTTTCAAATTTCTTTACAGGACCCCTCACCAGCTCTGTTAATGTCTGTAATTTATAAACAAATTATCTATACCAAAAATAGGGATATGTCTTCTGGCACTACTGTTAAATCCTTAAGAAATAGATGATAAAAACACATATCTCTAGTACCTTCTAGAGAAAACATGTCAAACTCCCAACCTGTGGGCAGCATGTGGCCCACAACAAATATTTTTGCAGACCAGCCAATATAAAGGTATGTAAGAAACGTTTTAATAAAAATATTGCAACTTAATTTTTACAATATACTGTTATAGATCATTCTTTTTTTAAATTTCTTCATTGATTAAGGTATTACATATGTGTCCTATCCCCCCATATCCCCCCCAAAACCCCCTCTCATGCCCTCACCCCCCTGTTGTCTGTGTCCATTGGTTAGGCATATATGCATGCATACAAGTCCTTTGGTTGATCTCTCACCCTTACCCCCACCCTCCCCTACTTTCCCTCTGAGGTTTGACAGTCTGATCAATGCTTCTCTGTCTCTTTATCTGTTTTTGTTCATCAGTTTATGTTGTTCATTATATTCCATAAATGAGTGAGATCATGTAATATTTATCTTTCTCTGACTGGCTTATTTCACTTAGCATAATACTCTCCAGTTCCATCCATGCTTTTGCAAATGGTAAGAATTCCTTCTTTTTTACAGCAGCGTAGTATTCCATTGTGTAGATGTATTACAGTTTTCCAATCCACTCATCTGCTTATGGGCACTTAGGCTGTTTCCAAATTTTAGCTGTGGTAAATTGTGCTGCTATGAACATAGGGGTGCATATATCCTTTCTGACTGGTGTTTCTAGCTTCTTGGGATATATTCCTAGAAGTGGGATCACAGGGTCAAATGGGAGTTCCATTTTTAGTTTTTTGAGGAAGCTCCATACTGTTCTCCACAGTGGCTGTACCAGTCTACATTCCCACCAGCAGTGCATGAGGGTTCCTTTTTCTCCGCATCCTCGCCAACACTTGTTGTTTGTTGATTTGTTGATGATAGCCACTCTGACAGGTGTGAAATGGTACCTCACTGTCGTTTTGATTTGCATCTCTCGGATAATTAGTGACTTCGAGCATGTTTTCATATGTCTATTGGCCTTCCTTCTGTCTTCTTTCGAAAAGTATATATTTTGGTCCATTGCCATCTTTTGATTGGGTTATCTTCCTTTTGTTAAGTTGTATGAGTTCCCTATAAATGTTGGAGATAAAACCCTTATCAGTGATAACATTGGCAAATATGTTCTCCCATTGAGTGGGCTTTCTTGTTGTTTTGTTGATGGTTTTCCTTGCTGTGCAAAAGCTTTTTATTTTGATGTAGTCCCATTTGTTTATTTTCTCTTTAGTTTCCATTGCCCTAGGAGCAGTGTCAGTGAAGAAATTCCTTTGGCATATGTCTGAGATTTTGCTGCCTGTGGATTCCTCTAGTATTTTTATGGTTTCCCGTGTTGTGTTTAAGTCTTTTATCCATTTTGAGTTTATTCTTGTGTATGGTGTAAGTTGGTGGTCTAGTTTCATTTTTTTGCATGTATCGGTCCAGTTTTCTAAACACCATTTATTGAAGAGAGTGTCTTGACTCCAATTGTATGCTCTTTCCTCCTTTGTTGAATATTAATTGGGCATAGTGGTTTGGGTCAATTTCTGGGTTCTCTATTCTATTCCATTGGTCTATATGTCTGTTCTTGTGCCAGTACTAGGCTGTTTTGAGAATAGTGGCTTTGTAATACAGCTTGATATCTGATATTGAGATTGCACCTACTTTGTTGTTCTTTCTCAGGATTGCTGCAGCTATTTGGGGTCTTTTTTTATTCTAGATGAATTTTTGGAAAGTTTGTTCTAGGTCTGTGAAATATGCCAGTGGTATTTTAATGGGGATTGCATTGAATCTATAGATTGCTTTGAGTAGTATGGACATTTTGATGATGTTGATTCTACCCATCCATGAACACAGTATGTTCTTCCATCTGTTTATGTCTTCCTCTATCTCTTTTTTCAGTGTCCTGTAGTTTTTCGCATATAAGTCTTTTACCTCCTTAGTTAAGTTTATTCCTCGATATCTTAATTTTTTTGGTGTGATGGTAATTGGGATATCTATTTTAGTCTCTCTTTCTGTAAGTTCACTATTGGTGTATAGAAATGCCATAGATTTCTTGGCATTAATTTGGTATCCTGCTACATTGCCAAATTCATTTAAGTCTAATAATTTTTTGATGGAGTCTTTAGGGTTTTCTATGTACAGTATCATGTCATCTGGGAATAAGGACAGTTTTACTTCTTTTCCAATTTGGATGCCTTTTACTTATTCTTCTTGTCTCATCTCAAAGGCTAGTACTTCTAATACTATGTAGAACAGGAATGGTGAGAGTGGGCTTCCCTGTGTTGTTCCTGTTCCTAGGGGAAATGGTTTTAGTTTTTATCCATTGAGTATGATGTTGGCTGTGGGTTTTTCATATAAGGCTATTGTTATGTTGAGGTATGATCCTTCTATTACCACCTTGCTGAGAGTTTTTTTATCAAGAAAGGGTATTGGATTTTGTCAAGTGCTTTTTCTGCATCAACTGATATGACTATGTGAATTTCATCTCTCAATTTGCTTATGTGTTGTATCACGTTTATTGATTTGCGAATATTGTACCATCCTTGCATCCCTGGGATAAATCCTACTTGGTCATGGTGTATGATCTTTCTAATGTACTGCTGGATCCGATTTGTTAGAATTTTATTGAGGATTTTGGCATCTAAGTTCATGAGGGATATTGGCCTATAATTATTTTTCATTGTGTTGTCTTTATCTGGTTTTGGTATTAGGGTAATGCTGGCTTCATAGAATGAGCTTGGAAGTGTTCCTTCCTCTTGAATTTTTTGCAATAGTCTGAGAAGGATAGGTTTTAGTCCTTCCTTGAATGGTTGGTATAACTCCCCTGTGAAGCCATCTGGCCCCAGGCTTTTGTTTGCTGGGAACTTTTTGATGACTGCTTCAATTTCTTCCATAGTTATCGGCTTATTGAGATTTTCAGAATCTTCCTTATTGAGTTTTGGAAGGTTGTATTTTTCTAGGAATATGTCCATTTCCTCCAGGTTGTCTAGTTTGTTGGAGCAGAGTTCTTTATAGTATGTTTTAACAATCCTTTGTATTTCTGTGGGGTCTGTCGTTATTTCTCCTCTTTCATTTCTGATTTTGTTTATTTGGGTCCTCTCTCTTTGCTTCTTGGTGAGCCTGGCTAGAGGTTCATTGATCTTGTTTATCCTTTCAAAGAACCAGCTCTTGGTTTCATTGATTTTATGGATTGTTTTTTGGTCTCTATGTTATTTATGTCTCCTCTAATCTTTATTATCTCCTTCCTTCTGCTCATCTGGGCTTTTCTTGTTGCTCTCTTTCTAATTCTTTGCGTTGTAGAGTTAGATTATTTACTACTATTTTTTTCTTGTTTTTTGAGGTAGACCTGTAGAGCTATAAACTTCCCTCTCAGGACTGCTTTCATTGTGTCCCGTAGAGTTATGATTGCTGTGTTTTTATTGTCATTCGTTTCCAGGATATTTGTAATTTCTTCTTTGATCTCATTGGTAACCCAATCATTATTTAATAGCATGCTATTCAGCTTCCAAGTGTTTGAGTTTTTTGGATTGTTTTTATTATAGCTTATTTCTAATATCATGCCATTGTGCTCTGAGAAGATGCTTGGTATGATTTCAATCTTCTTGAATTTGGGGAGACTTTGCTTGTGACCCAATATGTGGTCTGTTTTTGAAAATATCCCATGTACACTTGAGAAGAATGAATATACTGTGGCTTTGGGGTGAAATGTTCTGAAGATTTCAATTAAGTCCATCTGATCTAGTGAGACATTTAGGATTGCTATTTCTTTGCTGTTTTTTGTTTTTTTTTGTCTAGAGGATTTATCCAGTGATGTCAGTGGTGTATTAAAGTCCCCTACTATGATTGTATTGTTGTCAACCTCTCCCTTGATATGTTCCAGGAGTTTTTTTATGTATTTGGGTGCTCTTGCATGGGGTGCATATATGTTTATCAGGGTTATATCCTCTTGTTGTATCAATCCCTTTAGTATTATGAAGTGTCCTTCCTTATCTCTTGTTATGGCCTTTACTTTGAGGTCTATTTTGTCAGATATAAGTATTGTTACCCTAGCTTTTTTTTCATTTCCATTTGACTGAAAGATCTTTTTCCTTCCCTTCACTTTCAGTCTGTGTGAGTCCCTTGTTCTGAGGTGGGACTCTTGTAGACAGCATATATATGGTTCATGTTCTTTTATCCATTCAGCCACTCAATGTCTTTTGATTGGAGCATTTGTCCCTTTATGTTTAAAGTTATTATTGAAAGGTATTTGTTTGAAGTCATTTCTATTTTTGTGCCTGTGTTCTTTCTTACCTTTTTATTTCTTCTTTTTAAAGATTCCCTTTAGCATTGCTGGCTTGGTAGTGATAAACTCCCTTAGCCTTTTTTGTCTGCGAAGCTTCTGATTTCCCCTTCAATTTTGATTGATAGTCTTGCTGGGTAGAGTATTCTTGGATTCAGTCCTTTGCTTTGCAACACCTGGTATACCTCCTTCCATTCCCTTCTAGCTTGATGTGTTTAGAAATCTGTGGCTGGGATGTCTGGATTCTTGGTGTCTGTGGGTCTGCAGCTGTCGTAGCAGGTCTCTGTCTCCAGTGGCTGCAAGGTCCTAGTTTGCGTCTGAGACCAGACTTGGTGGTGCTGAGGCCAGGATCCTAGTCTCAAGCAGCTCTGTTTCTCAAGATGGCGTGGTCTCTGTGCCCGTACTGGCCACATTGGAGTGTCTGCATTGGGAGTGGGGCTCCACCATCTAAGACTGCCTGGTTTGGCAGCCCCTTGGAAGACCTGCAGAATCTAACTGTCCTTAGCTCATACACACACACCACACACGTCCACACACTCCTCTATAGCTACCTCACACTCTTTCCCTCCCTACCTTCCTGCCGGTCACCATCTTCTCTGTCTTTTTTCTATAGATCATTTTTAATAATGAACTACAATGTTCACTAATGACTGATGACTATCATCATTTTGCATTCATTTCCCTTATGCAGCTTACGCGCAGGTGCACCATTTCCCTCCACTAATACTAGCAGTGAATATTTTAGCAGCCAATGGCCACATCCTTAGTCTTGGGCTGACTTGTTTGGTGTGCACAACAGAAAATATCTCGCTTTTGGAGAACAAGAAAAATGGATTTATTTGCATTACGCTTATTCATTTGTGCAGATATTCAGTGTCTGGTAAGTCAATGTTCAAGAAAAAATATTAATTTTTATTAAAATGTTCTATTATTTTATGTGAGTGATGTCTCATTTATTTCAGCCCTTTGTATTCATTATGTCTCTATTGAAATAAACCTACATTTCTATGACAATTGAAGTTTGTTTTTTGTTTTTTTTGTGTGTCCCACATACACTTAAATCTTTTTTATTTGGCCTGTGTTAGCTTTGAGCTTGACATGCTTGTTCTGGAGTACTTATACGTCTTTCATAAGGTTCCCCAACAATTTCAGAATGAATTGAGCAAACACCACAATGAATGAAGCACACACACCCTCTTGTGTGTGTGAGCTCCATGTGGCCATTTTAGAAAGCTTTCCAAATATAAAATGAAGTCCTGGAAATTAATCACCATTTGTGCCATGTATCAAAAGAGGTAAGGAGGCCCAGCCTGTGTGGCTCAGTGGTTGAGCATTGACCTAGGAAACAGGTCACAGTTTGATTCCCGGTCAGGGCACATGCCTGGGTTGTGGGCTCAATCCTAGTAGGGGGGTGCAGGAGGCAGTGGATCAATGATTTTCTCTCTCTCATCATTGATGTTTCTCTCTCTCTCTTAAATCAATAAAAATATATGTATTTTTAAAAGATGTAATGAGTATGTTTTGATTTTCATCATTGAAAACCCACTCCAGTTTTAGAATCATTTGCTGTGAACAATGGCTGTGGAAATACGTACCTTTAGCCTGGCTTCTTGCTGGCTTCAATAAGCCACAGGATAGCCCTAGCCCCGTTGTCGGCAAAATGCGGCTCACGAGCCACATGCATCTCTTTGGCCCCTTGAGTGTGGCTCTTCCAAAATACCACGTGCGGGCGTGCACATACAGTGCGATTGAAACTTCGTGGCTCATGTGCAGAAGTTGGTTTTCGGCCTGGGTGAGTCTATTTTGAAGAAGTACTATTGATATTTGGCTCTGTTGACTAATGAGTTTGCCGACCACTGCCCTAGCCAGTTTTGCTCAGTGGAGAGAGCGTTGGCTTTCGGATCTAAGGGTCCTGAGTTCCATTCTGGTCAAGGTTACATACCTTGGTTGTAGGCTCCTACCCAGCAGGGGTGCTGGTCAGGGTGAGAGCAGGAGACAACCAGTTGATGTGTTTTTTCTCACATCGATGCTTCTCTCCTTCTCTCTTCTAATTTCTCTGAAAACCAATGGAACAGCCTTAGCTGGTTTGGCTCAGTGGCTAGAGCATTGGCCTATGGACTGAAGGGTCCCAGGTTCAAATCCAGCCAAGGACACATGCCTGGATGGCAAGCTCACTCCCCAGTGGGGTGCATGCAGGAGGCAGCTGACTAATGATTCTCTCTCATCACTGATCTTTCTATCTCTCCCTCTCCCTTTCTCTCTGAAATCAATAAAATATTTTAAAAAATAAAAATCAATGGAACAAATATCCTTGCATGAGGATTAAAATAAATAAACACATTTACCATTAAACACACACACACACACACACACACACACACACACACACGCACACGCACACAGTTACAGGATAAAGGGCTCATGGCTCCTGGGGCTCCTGCCCAGGGGGCCAGGTGAACATCACTGAGTGATTATCTGTTTCACCGCCCACACTAAGATGATGTTTTCGCTGGGTCCCTACAGAGACACGTCTCCATAGTTTTAACTACAAACATCATTTTAAGTAGCAACACGGGGGTTTACAGCCAAGAAAACTTACTGAAATCTGTTTTAAATCTTCGTCTTGTACTAACTGGAGTGGATCAATAAAGGTTTCCTTGACGTTAATATCAAAGGATTCTTTCACTTCCGCCATCAGCTTCATAGCTTCTCCCATATCGGTCAGCGCGCTGCCTGGCACAGAAAAACAAATAAAAAGCGTTCATTCACAGAGCACCCGGAGGTTGGCGGCACTATTCACTTCTTGCCCAAGGTATGTGGGTGATGGTTTATTTAACAAGGTCTTCACTTGGAAAAGAATAAAAACAAAAACTTTTTTTAAAACATATTTTTATGGATTTCAGAGAGTAAAGGAGAAGCAGAGAGAAACATCAATGATGAGAATCATGGATTGGCTGCCCCGTGCACAGCCTCCACACAACCCCGGCATGTTCCCTGACTGGTAATGGAACCGTGACCTCCTGGTTCATAGGTCAAATCTTAACCTCTCAGTATAATAATTATAATAATTAAAATTCTTTTTTTCTTGAAATATTGTTTATTGCATGTAATATTGTTATATTTAAGATCATTTTTCTTGAATAATTGGTGTTTATTGCATGTAACATTATGTTTAAAATCATTTTTTTCAAGATATTAATGTTTATTAAAGGTAACATTATTATATTTAAGATCGCTTTTCTTGAGATATTAATGTTTATTGCATGTAACATTATTATATTTAAAAGAGCTTTTCTGGAAAAAAATGGAAAAAAAAGAAGAAACTCAACTGAGCCAGCCAGCCGGGCTAAAAATAAAAACTTTCTACATTTCTTCTGTACTTCCTCCTTTTCATCAAACTTACCTGGCGGCTGACAGGCCGAGGCACTTTCCATTCTGGCCACTAGATGGAGATAAAGATCAATTTTTGTAAAAAAAAAAAAAAAACCAAACCACAATGTGTTTTTGTCAACAGGCCAGTGGTTCTCAACCTGTGGGTCGAACGACCCTTTCACAGGGGTCGCCTAAGACCATCGGAAAACACATATATAATTACATATTGTTTTTGTGATTAATCACTATGCTTTAATTATGTTCAATTTGTAAGAATGAAATTGGGGGTCACCACAACATGAGGAACTGTATTAAAGGGTCATGGCATTAGGAAGGTTGAGAACCACTGCCCTAAGGGTTTTTAGAAGCTGCAGAACAAAGTCCCTCTTTGTAAACAATAAAAGGATTGAGTCCTCCTCTGGGCTAAGCACCAACAATGAAGATGACAATAGGAATGAATGAACATCTCATCTCAGCTTTTGCTGCCAGGTCCTCCTGGGGCCGCACCCTGGATCCTTCCAAGGGCAAGGCGACCTGATCCTCCCTGGTGTGGAGGAAGCCTGGCAGTGTCACACAGGTAGCTCCCAGCAGGGCGGGCAGCCATGCCCAGTGTGGACAGCGAAGGGCAGCTCTTCCTGAATGACCCCCAGTACCTGGGAAGCACCTAATCTGCATTAATTTGCAAGAGGGTGACCTCAAAGCTGTGTACAAGGAGGTTGCAGGTTCTCTTAAAAACATCTCCCATGTAGCTCAGTGGGTAGAGCATCGAACTTCGGACCAGAGTCCCAGGTTCGATTTTGGTCAAGGGCACATACCAAGGTTGCAGGTTTCTCAGGTGGGCCCTGGCCCTGGTCTGGGCTCATGAAGGAGTCAACCAAGCAATGTGTTTCTCTCACATTGATGTGTCTCTGTCTCTCCCTCTCTCTTCCACTCTCCCTAAAAATCAATAGGAAAAATATCCTCAGGTAAGAATTAACAAAAACAAACAAACAAACAAAAAACCATCTCCCAGCCAGCCTGCATTGCTCAGTGGTTGACCATCAACCTAGGAACCAGGAGGTCACGGTTCGATGCCCGGTAAGGGCACATGCCTGGGATCTCCAGTAGGGGGCATGCAAGAGGCAGCCGATCCATGATTCTCTCTCATCATTGATGTTTCTCTCTCTCTCCCTCTCCTTTCCTCTCTGAAATCAATCCAAAAAGAAAAGAAAAGAAGTGAAGAGAAAATAAAGGCTTTGTGTATAACCTACAGGTGACATGGGCCGACCGCCCTCCAGGACTTCCACACTCACCAAAGGTGGAGTCCTCGCCCAGCTCCTGGCCGTACTTGAGCATGCAGTTGCCCAGCAGGCCCTCTGGCTGCAGGCACCCCGGGGCCTTCCCCCAATTGTGGATCTTCAACATCGGGCTCAGCAGCCCCAGCTTCATTCTGTATGCTTCAAGACAGGGTCATTTGTAATTCCTTCAAGGGACAGGGTGGAGGGGCAGAGAGCATGCAACAAATGCAACCGGCAAGATCGAGGGCACCCTCGGCGACATGTCAGAGACCTGAGGTGCCAAAGGGCCTCAGTGACCTATTTAGTTTTTCCCATGATTGGCACATGCTTCACTCAGGTGGGTGCATAGTGATTGGTTGCAGAGTCACGTGGGAAACAGAAATTGTGAACACATTGCAACCAGCCTATATCAGGACCTCTCTCTCTCTTGCTCTTTCTGTCTCTCTTTCTCCCTTCCTTTCTGAAATCAATAAAAATATATTTTAAAAAGTAAATAAGTCCTAACCGGTCTGGCTCAGTGGATACAGTGTTGGCCTGCAGACTAGAGGGTCCCGGGTTCGATTCTGGTCAAGGATAGGTACTTTGGTTGTAGGTCCCCTGGCCCTGGTTGGGGCACCTGCAGGAGCCAACCGATTGATGTGTCTCTCTAACATAGATGTCTCTCTCTCTCTCCCTCTCCCTTCCTCTCTGAAATAAATAAAAAACCACATTTCATGATTGGGACCCCAAGGGCGTTGTTGCTAGATCACTTCAAGGAAGGGCCCAGCCGACATGGGTGGTCAGCATGGGTCACCGTGAATGGGCAACAGGACAGTTCCAGACATTGTCCCACATTACCTGGATTGGGCTGAATGTATTCTGTGGTTTTCAAAAGAATTTCTGTAACAGCTTTATTGGTGATATCTATTTTCTAAAAATAAAAATAAAAATATTTAAAAAATCACATAAAATGTTGGTGAGTGACAAACTGCAAATTCACAGGAAAACACACTGAGACATGATTTTCACCTGTAATAAAGGGAAGGAAACAGAGGACCTTGGCAATTCCTGGATGCTCCACACAGGTGACAAGGGACAACGTCACAATCATTTCTGTTCAGAGTCCCGACATGCACCCTAATGGGTTTGGCTCAGTGGATAGAGCGTCAGCCTGCTGACTGAAGGGTCCCAGGTTCAATTCCAGTCAAGGGCATGTACCTTGCTTGTGGGCACATCCCCAGTGGGGGGTGTGCAGGAGGCAGCTGATCAATGTTTCTCTCTCATCAATGTTTCTAACTCTCTATCCCTTTCCCTTCCTCTCTGTAAAAAAATCAATAAAATATGGTTTTAAAAAAAAAAAAAAAAAAGAGTCCCGACATGCCCTGACCAGGTGGCTCAGTTGGTTGACGCATCATCCTGTACACTGAAAGGTCACGGGTTCAATCCCTAGTTAGGGTGCAAATAGGAGGCGATTAGATGTTTCTCTCTCACATTGATGTTTCTCTCTTACTCTCTTCTTTTCTCTCTAAAATCAATAAAACATATCCTCGGGTCAGGATTAAAAGAAACACATTTTAACTATACACACACACACACACACACACACACACACATACTAGAGGCCTGGTGTGGGACATTCGTACACTGGTTGGGTGGGGGGGAGCTAAGCCCGGCCTGCACCCTTTCACAGTCCAGGAGCTTTGGGGTATATCTGACTGGCAGCTTCGGCCCACTGGGGGGGAACAGGCCTAAGCTGGCAGTCAGACATCCTTAGCCCTGCTGAGGAGGTGGGAGAGGCTCCCTCCACTGCGCTCGCCAGCCATGAGTCAGGCTTCTGGCTGAGCGGCGCTCCCCTGTGGGAGTGCACTGACCACCAGGGGCAGCTCCTGTATTGAGCATCTGCCCCTGGTGGTCAGTGCATATCATAGCAACTGGTCCTTCTGTCATTTGGCCAAACTGCATATTACCCTTTTATTATACAAGGTATTTTATTGATTTTAGAGAGGAAGGAGAGGGAGAGAGAGATAGAAACATCACTGGTGAGAGAGAATCATGGAGTGGCTGCCTCCTGCATGCTCTACACTAGGGATCGAGCCCATAACCCAGGCATGTGCCCTGACTGGGAATCAAACCATGAGCTAGTTCATAGGTTGATGCTCAACCACTGAACCACACCAGTTCGGCTAAACACATTTAAAAAAAAAAGAGTCCCAACATACTTCCCCCATGCTTTCATATGCATGAATGTTCTGCATAACTGTCACAACAGAAATGTGAGGTGAGCAGGGAATGGGGTTTCACCCTGTGTCATAGTCAGAAAAGACGAACTTGCCCACCAGGCCCTCAGGCCAGTTGGATGGCAGCGCCAGGACCTGGTAATGCCCAGAGCTGTTGTGCCCAGAGGATGCAGCCAGGGCTTCCATGTGGGGCATCAATATGTACGCATATGAGGATCTCTGCCCAGAAACACACTCTTGACTCTCCAAGGTGCATAACCACAATGCTCGGGCTATTTAACTGCTTGCCAAGACTGCCCATCTTGTCCAGCCAATGTGCCTCAGTGTTTGACATCGACCGACCCATGAACCAGGAGGTCACAGTTTGATTCTCGGTCAGGGCACATGCCAGGGTTGTGGGCTTGATCCCCAGTGAGGGGTGTGCAGGAGGCAGCCAATCCATGATTCTATTTTATCATTCATGTTTCTATCTCCTTCTCCCTTTCTCTCTGAAGTCAATAAAAATATATACCCTATATAATAATAGCCTAATATGTAAATTGACCAAATGGCAGAACAACTGGTCACTATGGTACGCACTGACCACCAGGGGGCAGATGCTCAACGCAGTAGCTGTCCCCAGCCCGCAGGGCGCAGGCCAGGCAAGGCGGTGCCAGCAAGGGGCCCCTGATCACCCTGCTGGTAGCCCCATACATTGGTCCTGATCACTGGCCAGGCCTAGGGACCCTACCTGTGTACAAATTTTGTGCACTGGGTCTCTATTGTGTGTGTGTGTACATCATATATATATATATATATATATATACATATATATATATATATATATATGTAATCTAATAAAAGAGAATCATGCTTATTGTACTTTCGCTATGCACGAAGTGATGCCCCACCAGCTAATCAGAGTGACTATTATGCTAATTAACCACAAACATGATGGCGGCCGGCAGACAACAGCAGCTGAAGCAAGCAGGAGTCTTTGGTCGCTCCCGACAATAGAAGGAAGACAAAGCTTCCTGCCTGCTCCTGACCAGCTTCTATGCTCTGCTGAAGGCAACAA